AGAGGCAGAGACCCCAAGGTCTAGCCATTCCCGAAGTTTCATGGGGTCCTCATTGTTGTTGAGGCCTTGGCAAATTGACCAAGACTTAACCCCTATTGTGCAGTCTGGTACCTTTGTCCTTTGCAGAACTATAAGTCACCATCCCTTGTTGGGGGGGGGGAGTATGCTCGATGTCAGCGTAATGCTTCATTTTACGATTTACATGTGTGGCTTCCTCTGCAACCACAGGTGTGTTGTGAATGCTGAAAGACGCAACCGCTTTTGTTCTACAAGCACCACTTATTTTTAGGTAGGACACAAAGTACTTAAGCGCTGTAAAAGGTTAAGACTTTGGAGTCTATACTAAGAAACTTAAACTTGGAAGAGTTAATCGCTTCACCAGGGAATTTTCCTTTCCAGAATCCACTTACAAGTTGTTTATAGGCGACGGATTATGACCGTACACGCGAAACTAACTACCTTGTTGTGAGACGTTCCAATAAGACTATGCGATGCCTGATGGATAAACAAAAGGTTAAGAGAGACCAAACATATGCAAAGCGAGCAAAGACGGCCAAGATGATCTCCTCCCCAAGTAGAGATGAAAAGCAAGTCTGGACCGTTCCATGGCCTGCCTTGGAAGGTGCTTCAGGGATATTCTAGCTCGGAAAGAAGATTATACTGTTTACGAGATAGTGTGTGTGACAAAGGGTTATATTTAGAGGGCTCAGCGTACTTAATTGTTCCGATAATGTGGTGTTCTTTTATTTATTTATTTATTTATTTATTGATATACCGCTGTATCTCTTTTAAGTGTGCTGAGAGTGCTATCTCTGTATACTATGTCAGTAAGCACACCTGGTTGAAATCTTGAACGCAGCCACCATTTTGAACCTTTTCGTTTTGAGCATTTCTGGAAATGGCAAGTGTTGAGCTGCTGAACTTGCTGACTGAAAGGTTGGCAGTTTGAATGTGGGGAGTGGGGTGAGCTCCTGCTCTTAGCACCAGCTTCAGGCAAACCTAGAAGTTCGAAAACATGCAAATGGGAGTAGATGAATAGGTACCGCTTCGTCGGGAAGGTAATGGTGCTCCATGTAATAATAATAATAATAATAATAATAATAATAATAATAATTGCTGACTGAAAGGTTGGCAGTTTGAATGCGGGGAGTGGGGTGAGCTCCCGCTCATAGCACCAGCTTCTGGCAACCTAGAAGTTCGAAAACATGCAAATGTGAGTAGATGAATAGGTACCGCTTCGTCGGGAAGGTAATGGTGCTCCATGTAATAATAATAATAATAATAATAATAATAATAATAATAATAATTGCTGACTGAAAGGTTGGCAGTTTGAATGCGGGGAGTGGGGTGAGCTCCCGCTCATAGCACCAGCTTCTGGCAACCTAGAAGTTCGAAAACATGCAAATGTGAGTAGATGAATAGGTACCGCTTCGGCGGGAAGGTAATGGTGCTCCATGTAATAATAATAATAATAATAATAATAATAATAATAATAATAATAATTGCTGACTGAAAGGTTGGCAGTTTGAATGCGGGGAGTGGGGTGAGCTCCCGCTCATAGCACCAGCTTCTGGCAACCTAGAAGTTCGAAAACATGCAAATGTGAGTAGATGAATAGGTACCGCTTCGGCGGGAAGGTAATGGTGCTCCATGTAATAATAATAATAATAATAATAATAATAATAATAATAATAATAATTGCTGACTGAAAGGTTGGCAGTTTGAATGCGGGGAGTGGGGTGAGCTCCCGCTCATAGCACCAGCTTCTGGCAACCTAGAAGTTCGAAAACATGCAAATGTGAGTAGATGAATAGGTACCGCTTCGGCAGGAAGGTAATGGTGCTCCATGTAATAATAATAATAATAATAATAACAATAATAATTGCTGACTGAAAGGTTGGCAGTTCAAATGCGGGGAGTGGGGTGAGCTCCCGCTCATAGCACCAGCTTCTGGCAACCTAGAAGTTCGAAAACATGCAAATGTGAGTAGATGAATAGGTACCGCTTCGGTGGGAAGGTAATGGTGCTCCTAATAGTAACAACAACAACAACAACAACAAGAACAAGCCATTTGAACAAATGCCATCAAAGCCAGAATTGAAAAGTCGACAACAGATCTCAAATATAGATTCTGCAAGGAAGAAGATAAACCAATAGATCACATCCTCAGCTGCTGCAAGAAGATTGCGCAGACAGACTACAGGGACCTCTTGACCAGGAGCCACTTGACCAGGGACCAATTTGACCAGGGACCCCTTTGTCTAGGGACCTCTTGAACAGGGACCAATTTGACCAGAGACCACTTTGATCAGGGACCACTTGACTAGGGACCACTTTGACCAGAGACCACTTTGACCAGGGACCACTTTGACCAGAGACCACTTTGACCAGAGGCCACTTGACCAGACACCACTTTGACCAGAGGCCACGTGACCAGGGACCACTTGACCAGGGATCACTTGACCAGATACCACTTTGACCAGAGGCCACTTTGACCAGGGACCACTTTGACCAGAGACCACTTTGACCAGAGGCCACTTGACCAGGGACCAATTTGACCAGGGACCACGTGACCAGGGACCACTTGACCAGGGACCAATTTGACCAGGGACCACGTGACCAAGGACCACTTGACCAGGGATCACTTGACCAGATACCACTTTGACCAGAGGCCACTTGACCAGGGACCAATTTGACCAAGGACCACGTGACCAGGGACCCCTTGACCAGGGACCACTTTGACCAGGGACCACTTGACCAGGGACCACTTAACCAGGGACCACTAGACCAGAGACTGCTTTGACCAGGGACCACTCTTCAACATTAATACTAAAAGAGTTACGAATCAGTTTTTGGTCAACTTTGGATTTGGTTTGGTTATTTGGGGTGCTGATTCAGAAAATGGCATTGGATAGACCACATCAACCCTAGTTTCTGATATAGAACATATGCCATCCAATAGTCACCATCTCCTCACCCACATAAAACCATTTTTTAATAATCTAGAGCTGATGTGGTCTATCCAATGCAATTTTCTGAATAAGCACCCAAAATAACCCTATTTACTAGCACTAAAAATGAAGATATCAAGGTGCCACTACTTCCACGCACCACATGGAAGGGCGCTGCTGAGGGGGAGGAAGGAAGAGGAGAATCAGGAGGCTTGTTGTTGTGGTTATTGTGGTTCATCAGCTTCTCTCCACCCGACATCCCCATTGCCTTGCCACTATAAGAGGGTGTTGCAAGACCAGTCACTCTCATTGTAATGGTGTAGTAACAGTGAGGCTTATATATTTGTTGTGTCAGTGCAACCAGTAAATTATATTACATTTCTATAAGAACAAAGCAAACAAACAGAAAAAATACAAAATATGTGAGTTTGGTAGATGATTAAATGTCCTTTGACCAGTACCTGGCCACTTGGAGTGCCTCTGGTGTTGCTGCAAGAAGGTCCTCCATGGTGCATGTGGCAGGGCTCAGGGTGCATTGCAGCAGGTGGTCAGTGGTTTGCTCTTCTCCGCACGCGCATGTCGAGGATTGCACTTTGTGGCCCCATTTCTGAAGGTTGGCTCTGCATCTCGTGGTGCCCGAGCGCAGTCTGTTCAGCGCCTTCCAAGTTGCCCCGTCTTCTTCTGTGTGCCCAGGGGGGAGTCTCTCATTTGGTATCAGCCATGGGTTTGAGCCCGCCACTTTTGAACTCTCACTTGCTGGGGTGTTCCAGCGAGTGTCTCTGTAGATCTTAGAAAACTATTTCTAGATTTAAGTCGTTGACGTGCTGGCTGATACCCAAACAGGGGATGAGCTGGAGATGTCTCTGCCTTGGTCCTTTCACTATTGGCTGCTACTTCCCGGCGGATGTCAGGTGGGGCAATACCGGCTAGACAGTGTAATGTCTCCAGTGGTGTAGGGCGCAGACACCCCGTGATAATGTGGCATGTCTCATTAAGAGCCACATCCACTGTTTTAGCGTGGTGAGATGTGTTCCACACTGGACATGTGTACTCAGCAGCAGAGTAGTATAGCGCAAGGGCAGATGTCTTCACTGTGTCTGGTTGTGATCCCCAGGTTGTGCCAGTCAGCTTTTGTATGATGTTGTTTCTAGCGCCCACTTTTTGCTTGATGTCCAGGCAGTGCTTCTTGTAGGTAAGAGCACGGTCCAAAGTGACTCCCAGGTATTAGGGTGCACTGCAATGCTCCCGTGGGATTCCTTCCCAGGTGATCTTCAGAGCTCGGGATGCTTCTCTGTTCTTGAGATGAAAGGCACATGTCTGAACACATGAAGCGACCAGCATGCAAACACTGAGGCTGTGGACCATATTTTACTTCTTGGGGACCACTGATGGTACACGGACCACAGGTTGGGAACCATTCATCTAAATCCTTATGAAGGTAGAAAAGCAAGAGCATGAAACGGTTCTGGCCCAACTTACCTGTCTGAACGCATCTTCCCTTATGAACCTGCTAGGACTTTAAGATCGTCTGGGGAGGCCCTGCTCTTGATCCTGCCTGTGTCACAAACACATTTGGCGGGGATGAGAGACAGGACCTTCTCAGTGGTGGCCCCTCGTCTATGGAACACCCTTCCTAGGGACATTAGATCGGCCCCCTCCTTCTTAACATTCCAGAAAAGAGTCAAGACCTGGCTGTTTGAGCAAGCATTTGAAAACACAATGTGAAAGACATAGGAACTTGGAACGACTGGACAACAAGATGGATAATGTTTTTAATTAGGAGATGCAAATGGCTTATGTTTTATTACTTTTGTTTGGTTTCATACTATGTATTAATGTTTTAAATGTTTTATGATGTTCTTGGGCATCGAATCGTTGACTCTGCAAATCACCCTGAGGTGCCTGAGGGCTGAGAAGGGCGGTCTACAAATTTAGTAGATAAATAAATAAATGGGTTGGTACTGGGCTCGGCAGTTCATTTACACCTTTTGATGCCTCCAAAGAACTATTTGCTAGCACTAAGATTTCTTTTCCTTTATTACCCTGCAGGAGCGGATTGGTACGTCGTGCACTTGGAACTTACCGTGACGGACGTCAACGACAATGTCCCGGAATGGGCCATGCAACCCTTTCCCTACTTGGCCACCGTGTCACCAAATGCCTCGGCCGGCAGCAAAGTGTACAAGCTCTTGGCTGAGGATCAGGATGAAGACGAAAACGGGGCTGTTGAGTATTTTCTTGTGGGAGGTAAATACAATACCATTCCCAATAGAAGAAATATTGAATCGAAAATAAAATGAGGGTTACATTAATGACTAGTGGTCCCCTGCCAGGCGTTGCTGTGGCCCAGTCTGGTGATCTGGAAAATAAAGTAAATAGAAAGTGCTGGTTTCTAATCTCTGTCATGTCTTTCTGCTTGTGGGTCAACAGTATTTCTTCCTGTTTCTTTGTCAGTATTGATGTGGAGATTGTCTAGTTTGCCTACTCTGGAACATGCAACATATAATTGTCCATCTTCAGGGGTCCCTTTCAAATCTATGATACTATATCTCTCTCTGTGTTAATCATATCTATCTATATCTATGGCTGGATGGCTCTCTTATCAAGAAGGCTTTGGTTATGTTTTCTTGCCCTGGTGAAGGGAGTTGGACTGGGTGACATTAAATATTTTCTGTTAGTCATGGGGTTCTGTGTGGGAAGTTTGACCCAATTCTGTCATTGGTGGGGTTCAGAATGCTCTTTGATTGTAGGTGAACTATAAATCCCAGTAACTACAACTCCCAAATGCCAAGGTCTATTTCCCCTCAAACTCCATCTGTGTTCATATTTGGGCATATGGAATATTCGTGCCAAGTTTGGCCCAGATCCATCATTGTTTGAATCCACAGTGCTCTCTGGATGTGGGTGAACTATAATTCCCAAACTCAAGGTCAATGTCCACCAAACCCTTCCAGTTTTTTCTGTTGGTCATGGGAGCCCTGTGTGCTAAGTTTGGCCAAATTCCATCATTGGTGGAGTTCAGAATGCTCTTTGATTGTAGGTGAACTATAAATCCCAGCAACTACAACTCCCAAACTGTATATTTATGTTTTGGTTATGGGCACCATTAGGTGCCGGTTTGTTAGCTGCCCTGAGTCCCTCTGCGGAGGTCGAGACAGGACGGGTTACAAATGTTCGAAATAATAATAATAATAATAATAATAATAATAATAATAATAATAATAATAATAATAATTTGTTCATGTGGAATAGAAATTTATACATATAGCAAAAACAAGTGTGCATTGCATTTTAGAAGAAAGAGCATAATATACTTGAAAAGTTTTTTTAAAGTTGTGGAGAAACAGGGATGGAAGAAACATTAAATTGAAAATAAAAGGAGAGTAACATTCATGATCATAGTGGTCAAAGCCTAAATGAATGCAGTTGGGAGACGGGTAAGAGATAGAGCGCATGCAATAAGACTGAGAGTATAATAAAAGGAAATGATTGGGTACACTTGGTTCCTGATCCCAGCTTCCATGTTTGTGTTTGCGTCTTTCTGTCTAGGTGGAGAAGACAGGTTTGAGGTGGAAAGGGACACGGGTTGGATCAAAACCACAGGTTTGTCGTTGGAGAAGGAGAGGGAATACGTCTTGACTGCGATGGCGGCTGATCAACCTGGCCGCCAAGGCTCTCCTGCCTATATTTCTGTGTTTGCTGGCCGTCGACCCCCACAGTTTTCCAACACGTCGTACACTGCTTACATTCCTGAAAATACTCCACCAGAAGAATCGTGAGTACTAACAGGACACCTCTCTGTTTTGCTGTTCATTCATACGCAGGATGTAATCTTGGTGGCAGCTGCTCTTTACATTGCCTGTTGTGGACAGGTCCACACAGCTGCAGTACATTTAGGTGGCATGAGGGAGTAAGAATGTGCAAAATAAATTTTACATTAAGACAGTGAAAGAGTTAAAGAGAAAGGAGGAAAGAGTGAAATGAGTGAAAGAGTTTGGGATAGATAAGTGTTGCCAGGCAACCAGGAGGAGATATCTGTGTGGAAGGTTAAGAGGAGATCAGATTGACCGGAGGAGGAAAAAATGGCACAAAAATGGTTTTGAGAGAGATTGTTTTGTTTTGGAACAAAGAAGAAGAAGATGTTTAAGAACACACGCAGAGAGAGACAGAGATGCTGAATTGAAGAATGCAGAAAGGAAAGTCAGGCAAGGAAGTTTTGATTGCGTGTGTGTATATTTGTACCAATACGAGACTATAAAACCCGTGATGTACGAACAGTCAAACATGGCACTGTATTGATGCTTTCTTGGCTTGGCTTGATTGTAAACTGCTTCTTAGTATTTTTCTTCAGAATTAAACTATGGTGTTTTAATCTCCTTGTTGGAGCCCCGGGTGGTGCAATGGGTTGAACCCTTGGGCCAGCTGGACTGCTGACCAAAAGGTCAGCGGTTCAAATCTGGGGAGTGGGGATGTGGGGTGAGCTCCTGCCTGTCAGCTCCAGCTTCCCATGCGGGGACATGAAAGAAGTCTCCCACAGGACGGTAAAACATCCCGATGTCTCTTGTGCAATGTCCTTGCAGACGGCCAATTCTTTCACACCAGGAGCAACTTGCTGTTTCTCAAGTTGCTCCTGACACAAACACACACACACAAATAATAATAATAATAATAATAATAATAATACTTTATTTATACTCCGTTACCTCCCTCCCTCCCTCCCTCCCCCCCTCCCTCCCTCCCTCCCTCCCTTCCTTCACTTGCTGTTTCCTTCCTTCCTTTCCGTCTTTCCTTCTTCCTTCCTTCTCTATCACTTTCCTTCCTTCCCCCTTTTTCTTTCTCTTCTGCTGTCTCTTTTCTTCCTTCTCTATTTCCTTCTTTCCTTCCCTCACTCTTTCTCTACATCTTATCCCCTTCCTTTGCTCCCTCTTTCCTTCCTTCCTTTTTCTCTTCTGCTCTCCTTCCTTCCTTCTCTAACTTTCCTTCCCTCCCCCTTTTTCTTTCCCTCCCTCTTTCCCTCCTTTCTTCCTTCTCTACCTCCTTCCTTCCTTCCTTCCTTCCTTCCTTCCTTCCTTCCTTCCTTCCTTCTTTGCTTCCATGCTTCCTTCTCCCTTTCCTTCTTTCTTTCCCCTTCTTTCTTTCTTTTCTTTCTTTCTTTTCTCCCCTTCTCTCCCTCTTTCTTCCCTTTTTTTCTGTATTGTCATTTAGCTTTTCATCATTTAGCTTTTTGGGGCTTTCTAAGTCCCTTCTGCTGTGTTTTTCAGTGTTTTTATGAGTGAAGGACACTTGTTGGACTGTTAGGTGTCTTGTGTCCAAATTTGGTGTCAATTCCCTCAGTGGTTTTGGAGTTCTGTTAATCCCACAAACGAACATGACATTTTTATTTATATAGATTATTACCTACAAAAGAGCAATGGTTAATTCAAATTATGGATGTAATGAACCTGGGTGAAGTGACCCAACTCCTAACAAGACACCCCAGGAGACCAAAGAACGGAAAGGAAGTGAACCTGCCTTCACCTTGGATGCTCCTTCCGTCCCCTCCCAGATGAGTCTCCTTTGCTGCATGAATTTCCCATCTTTCATTGGCCTTCAGATGACTATTATCTTCTGAGCACAAGCTGCCTTGATGGAATTTGTTGCCTTTCCATTGAGAAAGATGGACGGATGACGCCCGGTCCATATGCGAGGCGATATCCATATGCATCAAGGACTCTCTCCCCCTTTTCAGGATAACCGCTGCTATAATCTTACCAGCTGTTCGCTTGACCCACTAAAATCGATGGGACTTTGTTGAACTTTGGAGCCGATCTGACAACAATCTGTCATAATTTTGTATGCGTGCAATCAGATTAAACCTAAATGGTTTACTATCTGATTTCCTGCCCATGCATTCTAAGAACGGCGGGTTTTCTGGCCATTCCTTCGAAAGCAAAGCAGCGTCACTGTTTAGGGCTCAGAATTGGCCAATGTGAAGTTTGGGTATACGTTTATTTATTTATTGTGTCAGGCAACCAGACAATTGTATTACATTTCTAACAGAACAAAACAAACAAACAGACAGAATGCAAAGTTTGCAAGTTTGGTAGTTGTTTAAATGTCCTTTGACCAGTCTCCGGCCCCTTGGAGTTCCTCTGGTGTTGCTGCAAGAAGGTCCTCCCTTGTGCATCATGTGGCTGGGCTCAGGGTGCATTGCAGCAGGTGGTCAGCGGTTTGCTCTCCTCCCCACTCGCATGTCATGGATTCCACTTTGTGGCCCCATTTCTTGAGGTTGGCTCTGCATCTCGTGGTGCTAGAGTGCAGTCTGTTCAGTGCCTTCCAAGTCACCCAGTCTTCTGTGTGCCCAGGGGGGAGTCTCTCATTTGGGATCAGCCATGGGTTGAGGTTCTGGGTTTGAGCCTTCCACTTTTGGACTCTCGCTTGCTGAGGTGTTCCAGCAAGTGTCTCTGTAGATCTTAGAAAACTTTTTCTTGATTTAAGTTGTTGACATGCTGGCTGATACCCAAACAACAAAGGTATACGTTACTTCTAATGGTTGGACCATCGGGACCGTATGATGCTGCGCAAGAGGCCTTATACTGGTGTTTGTCAGGAAATTTTTGGATGGTGGACCTATTAGAATATCATGAAATCAGGCTCTACGGTGCTGATTCAGTGTTGATTTCAATTATTTATTATTTACTAGCAGTCCCCTGCCACACCTTGCTGTGGCCCAGTCTGTGTATATGTGTTTTGTGTGTGTATATATTTGTGTATATCTGTGTTTGCATATATATATATATGTGGTTTTGCACATGCTTTGTATTGTAATTTTTGGCTTTTAAAGTCTCCTCTGTAGTGTTTTTCAGTGTTTTTATGAGTTATGTTCACTCGTTGGCCTGAGAGGTGTATTGTGTCCAAATTTGGTGTCAATTTGTTCAGTGGTTTGTGAGTTATGTTGATACAACAAACGAAAGGAACATTTTTATTTATATAGATTTATTGACAGTATTTATATTCCGCCCTTCTCACTCTGCAGGGGACTCAGGGCGGATTACAATGTACATATACATGGCAAACATTCAATGCCAAAGACACACAACATATGTAGACAGACACTCAGAGGCTATTTAACCTTCCAGCTTCATGAGAGTATGCTTTTTGAATTTCGGCCACCAGGGGAGCTGTCGCTTCACCATCCACTTGTGACACCGATGGAGTACTTCCTCATTCTTTTGCACGCTACTGCAGAGTTTTATGGCATCATAAATTAGTTAAATTAGCCTCCCTGCATAAGCAATACCTACATTTCCTACTTGACAGATGCAACTGTCTTTTGGGCTGCAAAGGTCGACAGCAAGCTAGACAAATCACCGGAAGCTCACTCCGACCCGGGCTGGCTTCGAACTCATGACCTTTTGGTCAGTAGTGATCTTAATCCAGCCAACTGTGCCACAGTCCTGGTGCTTAATTAGACTAAGGATGCATTGAAACTTAAAAGACATTTTTGTGTGTCTGTTAGGAATAGTTTTTAACAGCAAAACATAATTTTACCAGCGATTTCATTGTTATCAATCATCATCATGATCATCAATGTTTACTTCATTTATATGCTGCCCCTGGCAGTGCAGTGGGTTAAACCACTGAGCTGCTGAACTTGCTGACTGAAAGGTCTCCGGTTCGAATGAGGGTGAGCTCCTGCTGTTAGCCCCAGCTTCTGCCAACCTAGCAGTTCGAAAATATGCAGATATGAGTATGTCAATAGGTTCCAGCAGGAAGGTAACAGTGCTCCATGCAGCCATGCTGGCCACATGACCTTGGAGGTGTCTACGGACAACACTGGCTCTTAGGCTTAGAAATGGAGATGAGCACCAACCCCTAGAGTGGAGCTGGCGCAACAGAGGAGTAGTATGCTCCCTGAGTGCTGCTCCTGTTAGCATCCTGGCTGCCGACCATTGGACCATTTGAAGCTTCCGAGCAGTCTTCAAAGACAACCCCACGTAGAGAGCATTGCAGTAGTCTATACGGGATGTAACCAGAGCGTGGACTATTTATTTATTTATTTGCTTTATTTCTATACCGCATTTTTCAGCCTAATTCGGCGACTCAATGCGGTTTACACAGTACAAATCATCATAACAATAACAATTAGTTAAAACACATCATATACAACAGACAAAACAACAATAAATTATCATATCAACGCCTCGATAAAAAATCAGAATCCGTTCTCATAATCCTTATACCATTTCCTATGTTCGATTATACCGTCTTCCTGTGTTCAGTTGCACTGTTTAGCCAAATGCTTGTTCATAGAGCCACGTCTTGACCTTCCTCCGGAACGCTAGCAACGAAGGGGCCTGTCTGATGTCTACAGGTAGGGCATTCCGTAGCTGAGGGGCCACCACTGAGAAGGCCCTGTCCCTCATCCCCGCCAGACGCGCTTGTGACGCAGGCGGGACCGAGAGCAGGGCCTCCCCGGACGATCTTAATGTCCTAATCGGTTCATAGGTGGAGATGCGTTTGGAGAGGTAAGTGGGGCCGGAACCGTTTAGGGCTTTATAGGCTAAAGCCAGCACCTTGAATTGTGCCCGGTAGCGGATTGGCAGCCAGTGGAGCTGTTTCAGCATCGGAGTGGTGTGCTCCCTGAGTGCCGCTCCCGTTAGCAACCTGGCTGCCGAACGCTGGACCATCTGAAGCTTCCGGGCAGTCTTCAAGGGCAACCCCACGTAGAGCGCGTTGCAGTAATCTATGCGGGATGTAACTAGAGCGTGGACTACCGTGGCCAAGTCAGACTTCCCAAGGTACGGGCGCAGCTGGCGCACAAGTTTTAATTATGCAAATGCTCCCCTGGAAACTGCCGAAACCTGGGGTTCCAAGCTTAGCGAAGAATCCAGGGTCACACCCAAGCTGCGAACCTGCGTCTTCAGGGGGAGTGTAACCCCGTCTAACACAGGCTGTATCCCTATACCCTGTTCGGCCTTTTGAGTGACCAGGAGGACCTTTGTCTTGTCTGGATTCAGTTTCAATTTGTTAGCCCTCATCCAGTCCGATACAGCGGCCAAGCACCTGTTCAGGACCTGAACAGCCTCCTTAGTAGTGGGTGGAAGGGAGTGACAGAGTTGGACGTCATCTGCGTACAGATAACACCGCACCCCGAAACTCCGGATGATCTCTCCCAACAGCTTCATGTAGATGTTAAACAACATGGGGGACAGTATTGAACCCTGCGGGACCCCACAAGACAATGGTGGGGCGATCCCAAGGTACGGGCGCAGCTGGTGTACAAGTTTTAACTGTGCAAATGCTTTCCTGGTCAGGATCGTATTGCTCGGGATCGTATTGGATTTCACTAAATATGAGTAAATGTTTTTGATATTTAAAATATTTTGTATACATTCTTTAGCTTAAACTGCTTTCTGATTGTTTCTCCCGGTTTGTGTTCCTTCGTCACATCCGAATGTGATACGTTAGCAATGAGTTAGAAATCATTCTTAACCATTTTTTTTTCCATCCAGATTTTTGACACTGTCTGCTTTGTCGCATCAAAACGAATCACTGAGCTATAGCCTTGTGACAAATCCAAATGGGCTTTTCGGCATCGATGAAGTAACGGGGAATGTGTACCTCAGTCGAAATATGGATTACGAGAGTGATCAGCACCAGTACCTCCTTGTGGTCCAAGCAACAGAAGACCCAGGGCAGCTGAGCAGTACGGTTGAGGTGAGTGCTCCTTAGAGTCCATCCCTATATCTATCGTATCTACCATTTGGAGAAAGGTTACCTCAGTAATTGAAGAAAAAGGGAAAGAAAGAACATCTCTGTGGTTTCTCAAATTGACTGTTTGTGTTGTAACTTTATGAAGCTGTGGCAGGAGAAACGAAATGCAAAGAGACAGAATGGGGGACAATGAGGCCTGGCTCGAGAGCAGTACGTGTGAAAAAGATCTTGGAGTCCTCGTGGACAACAAGTTAAACATGAGCCAGGAATGTGATGTGGCGGCAAAAAAAGCCAATGGGATTTTGTCCTGCATCAAGAGGAGCCTAGTGCCTAGATCTAGGGAAGTCATGCTCCCCATGCTCTATTCTGCTTTGGTTAGACCACTTTACCTGGAATATTGTGTCCAATTCTGGGCACCACAATTCAAGAGAGATATTGACAAGCTGGAATGTGTTGAGAGGAGGGTGACTCAAATGATCAAGGGTCTGGAGAACAAGCCCTATGAGGATCGGCTTAAGGCGCTGGGCATGTTTAGCCTGAAGAAGAGAAGGCTGAGAGGAGATATGATGAGGGCCATGGATAAATATGTGAGAGGAAGCCACAGGGAGGAGGAGGGAGCAAGCTTCCTTTCTGCTTCCCTAGAGACTAGGACGCAACGGAACAATGGCTTCAAACTGCAAGAAAGGAGATTCCATCTGAACATGAGGAAGAACTGTGACTGTGAGAGCCATTCAGCAGTGGAACTCTCTGCCCCGGAGGGAGTGTGGTGGAGGCTCCTTCTTTGGAAGCTTTTAAGCAGAGGCTGGATGGCCATCTGCCAGGGGTGCTTTGAATGCAATATTCCTGCTTCTTGGCAGAATGGGGTTGGACTGGATGGTGGCCCACCAGGTCTCTTCCAACTCTTTGATTCTAGGATTCTATGATTCTATGATCTTGTTGTGTTTCAAATAATAATAACAATAATAATAATAATACAGTAATAACAATAACAACAATAATAATAATATAGTTCCAACTGAGCCTCTGCAAATGCAAGGGCAACAAAGGGGTGCTTGCAGAGAATAGAGCAGAGGAATAGTCATAACCATAATAGTAATAATAATAATAATAATAATAATAATAATAATAATTCAGAATATAATAATAATAATAATAATAATAATAATAATAATAATAATAATAGCTCCAGCTGAGCCTTCAAAGCTTCCTGACTGTGAGAGCTGTTGTTCAGCAGTGGAACTCTCTGCCCCGGAGGGAGTGTGGTGGAGGCTCCTTCTTTGGAAGCTTTGAGACAGAGGCTGGATGGCCATCTGTCAGGGGTGCTTTGAATGCAATATTCCTGCTTCTTGGCAGAATGGGGTTGGACTGGATGATGGCCCAGGAGGTCTCTTCCAACTCTTTGATTCTAAGTCTGCCAAGGACTTTGGAAATCAATACTTTGTTGATGTTCATACCTTGACTGGCATCAGTTGTTGAAAGATAAAGAGAGAAGCACCTCTTAGTTTTAATGTTGTAGGGTCTGGGTGTGACCCTCTTCAACTTGGTGACATTTATTCCGGAATACTGGCTTCTTTTCTCACCCGGCAACCCACAATGGCTTGGATCTCTCTATCCACAGCCACCCTAAATTGCTCGACAACAGAGTTTGCCTTAGAGTTGCCATAAGTTAGAAACAAAAACGCATAGTAATAAACTTCAGTGAGTCCCAGACTGAGAAAAACATGGCATATACAGATGATGATGATGATGATGATGGTGCTGATGATGATAGCAGCTGTCATGCTACTAAATGTGCAATTTTTTTTCTCATTTTAGGTTTGGGTTGTAATCACAGATGTGAATGATTGTGCGCCAGAATTCCAGCAGTCAATTTATACCAAAGACAATGTTCCCGAAACAGTGATGGTAACGACGGCACTTCTACAAGGTTAACACCATTCTTTTTTCTCTCTCTTCTAAATGGGACAGTACACATCATGTTGTTAGGTTTGGCCCATCCAAAAAGCGGGCATGTTGACTACTCTTTCAGTAGCTGAGGGGTGAGGCAGGGTCTCCCTTGGTGAGAACGCTGGTTGTTGGGTCAAGTTATGTGCGGAGTAAAACGAGTGCAGGAGACGGAGTTTTGCGATTGCTGCAAGAAGAGGCTTGGCTAGTTTTGGAGAGGAAAGTGTGTCACCTGGACTGTTCATTCTTCTGAAAAGAAATAGAAAAAATATAGAGCCACATTGAATCATGGAATCCTAGAGTTGGGAGAGACCTCCTGGGCCATCATCCAGTCCAACCCCATTCTGCCAAGAAGCAGGAAAATTGCATTCAAATCACCCCTGACAGATGGCCATCCAGCCTCTGTTTCAAAGCTTCCAAAGAAGGAGCCTCCACCACACTCCGGGGCAGAGAGTTCCACTGCTGAACGTCTCTCACAGTCAGGAAGTTCTTCCTCATGTTCAGATGGAATCTCCTCTCTTGTAGTTTGAAGCCATTGTTCCATTGCGTCCTAGTCTCCAGGGAAGCAGAAAACAAGCTTGCTCCCTCCTCCTCCCTGTGGCTTCCCCTCACATATTTATACGTGGCCCTCATCATATCTCCTCTCAGCCTTCTCTTCTTCAGGCTAAACATGCCCAGCTCCTTAAGCCGCTCCTCATAGGGCTTGTTCTCCAGACCCTTGATCCTTTGAGTCGCCCTCTTCCTCTGGACACATTCCAGCTTAGAGTCAATATCTCTCTTGAATTGTGGTGCCCAGAATTGGACACAATAACAGATGGCCATCCAGGCTCTGTTTAAAAGCCTCCAAAGAAGGAGCCTCCACCACACCAAACTCTTCAGAGAGTTCAGAGTTCAGAGAGTCCACCAAACTCTTCAGAGAGTTCCACTACTGAACGGCTCTCACAGTCAGGAAGTTCTTCCTCAGGTTCAGATGGAATCTCCTTTCTTTCCTGTTGTTTGAAGCCATGGCTCCATTGTGTCCTAGTCTCCAGGGCGGCAGGGAACAAGCCTGCTCCCTCCTCCCTATGACTTCCTCTCACATACTTATACATCTTTTTAAATTTCTTGTATTGTTGTGATTATTGCTTGTATTGTTGTGTTTGGGCTCGGCCTCATGTAAGCCGCACCAAGTCCCACCGGGAGATGGTAGCGGGGTACAAATAAAGTATTATTATTATTATTATTATTATTATTATTATTATTATTATCATCATCATCATCATGACGGCACATCAATGTGCCGTTACTAGCATTTCGAGATAGAAATTGGTTCTCTCCCCACCTCACCCCAGTGGAAAAATCCAGATTTGTGGATTACTTTTCTTTTTGATTATTCATGGATTTGAGTAAGACTAAAATGATCAAGGTTCTGGAGAACAAGCCCTATGAGGAGCGGCTTGAAGAGCTGGGCATGTTTAGCCTTCAGAAGAGAAGGATGAGATGATGATGAGGGCTATGTATTAATATGTGAAAGGAAGACACAGGGAGGAGGGAACAAGCTTCCTTTCTGCTGCCCTGGAGACTAGGATGCAATGGAATAATGGCTTCAAACTACAAGAAAGGAAGGAGATTCCACCTGAACATGAGGAAGAACTTCCTGACTGTGAGAGCTGTTCAGCAGTGGAACTCTCTGCCCCTTGTGGAGTTTGGTGGAGGCTCCTTCTTTGGAAGCTTTTAAACAGAGGCTGGATGGCCATCTGTCAGGGGTGCTTTGAATGCAATTTTCCTGCTTCTTGGCAGAATGGGGTTGGACCGGATGGCCCATGAGGTCTCTTCCAACTCTACGATTCTACGATGCCACAAGGACAGTCGTTCTTTTTGATTGATTGGTGGTTTCTGTTTTCGGTAGTCTGCTTGACCGATCCCTTGCAAAATTTGAGACAAGTTCTGATTGGGCGCCTCATTTTCTGCCCCGACAGTGTCAGCCAGCGACTGTGATTCTGATGAAAATGCGGACATCCTGTATTACTCCCTGAGCCCTGATTTCAGCATTTCCGATTCTGGCGCCATCTTCCCGGCGACGCCGCTGGACTACGAGCGCCCCAATCACCTCTATGAGTTCATCGTTATGGCCGTGGATAAAGGAGACCCTCCGAGGACCGGGACGGCAACCGTCAGGATCCGTATCTCAAACATCAACGATGAAGTGCCCAAGTTTTCACAACCAGTGTAAGTCCATACTGGGCAGTTTTGGATTCCAGTTTGTCTCCATTTCTGAAAATGGTGGCAGCGTTCCACGAAATCACAATTTTGAGAAACAAGTGTAGATGAAATAACTAGTAGGCTTGGTGATCCAAAAAAAAAAAGTTCAAAACTCGTTTTGGATGTAGGGAGCGCTGGAGATTCGATTTTGAAATTATTTCCGAAATTTTCTTGAAAAAAAGATCAGAAATAGCAGGAAATACGAGCTGTTCTTAGCCACGCCCACCTCGTCCCGCTTTGCATCACTGGGCGTGCAAAGCCACATCCGGAAATAATTCCGAATCATGGGGAAGTTGTTTCAGTTCAGAATTGCTTCTCCCACTATTCCTGCATGTCTCAAAATTGGATCAAAAGGTAATTTAATCCGAATTAATTACGATTTTAGAAACTAACGAACGAACTTACCCAAGCCTAATAACTAGTAGTTCCTCATTCATATCTCGTTTGTAATACAATTATTTTGTTCCTACGTGAGCCATTTTCTCAAAATCTTAGCTCCCTAACTGCAGAATAGGTATAGTAATGGTGATTTATCTTAGGGCCCTTCCACACAGCCCTAAATCCCAGAATATCAAGGCAGGAAATCTCACATTATCTGAGTGTGGAATCAGATTGTGACTGGAATTTAGTAATTTCAGTTAGCTGGCCCCAAAGGCTGCGAGGGTCTCTGCCTGGGGAGCAAACGCTGGGTTTCCAAGGTGAGCTGCAATGAAGAATGAAGATCCACCAGGAAGTTGAAGGCAGGCGACAGAAGGTTTATTCAAACTGCAGTAGACTAGGAGTCCTTTGTCCCACCCTGGTCATTCCACAGATATATAAACCTTTTTTCCTAGTTCCCACAGACCTCACTACCTCCGAGGATGCTTGCCATAGATGCAGGCGAAACGTCAGGAGAGAATGCCTCTAGAACATGGCCATATAGCCAGAAAAAACCTACAACAACCCAGTGATTCCGGCCATGAAAGCCTTCGACAATACATATCTATCTATTGATTGGATGGGAGGAGAGAACTTTTTAGAAGCCACTTTCACTATCTAACAAATTTGAAGAATGTTCTGTTCCTGGTTTGAAAGTGTCATTTCCTGTTTAATTGTGTGGTCCTTACTTTGAAAGGAGTTCTTCCACGCGAGAAACTTGGCTTTTGTGGCAGCCACAAACTAGGTTGAATTGGTTGAGACTCAATGATGGGAAACTCATTGAAAAACTAGAGCAAAATGTGCTGCAGGATATCCTAATAAACCTTTTCCATGTTTTTATGATTGAACCAATTAGGAAATAATGACCTAGGAACAAAAAATGTGTTACATCGTGTTTTCCTTTTTGATTCAGGCAGCCTTTATAAGAAGATTTTAAAGGATCATGTCAGGGGTTGCTGTGGTTTTGAGTTTTGAATATATTTTATGGGTTTTGACTGAATTTTAAAATTCAAATGACATTTAATTCTGGGTTGTTGTAGGTTTTTTCGGGCTATGTTCTAGAGGCATTCTCTCCTGACGTTTCGCCTGCATCTATGGCAAGCATCCTCAGAGGTCGTGAGGTCTGTTGGAACTAGGAAAAAGGGTTTATATATCTGTGGAATGACCAGGGTGGGACAAAGGACTCTTGTCTGCTGGAGCTAGGGGTGAATGTTTCAACTGACCACCTTGATTAGCATTTGATGACCTGGCAGTGCCTGGAGCAATCTTTTGTTGAGAGGTGATTAGCTGTCCCAGATTGTTTCCTCTCTGTTGTTTTGCTGTTGTAATTTTAGAGTTTTTTAATCCTGGTAGCCAGATTTTGTTCATTTTCATGGTTTCCATTTAATTCCGCTTTAATGTTTTTATATTAGTAATTTTCATATGGTACTGAAATGCTTTTAGCACACACCAAACAAGATCACCTGTGCTGGAAGGATGAAAGGGAGGAAGGGAAGGATGGAAGGAGAAATAGGGAGAGAGGAAGGAGGGAACGAAGGAAAGACAAAGGGAAGGAAGGACAGTAGGAAAGAAGGACGAAAGGAAGGGAAGGATGGAAGGAGAAAGAGGGAGAGAGGGAAGAAGGAAAGACAAAAGGGAAGGAAGGATGAAAGGGTGTAAGGGAAGGATGGAAGGAATGGATGGAAGGGAAGGAGGAAGGAAATAGAGAAGGAAGGAAGGATGAAAGGAGAAAGAGGGCGAGAGGGAAGGCGGGAAGAAAGAGGGAAGGGAAGGAGGAAGGAAAGACAGAATGAAGGAAGGACAAAAGGAAGGAAGGGAAAGATGGAAGGAGAAAGAGGGAGAGAGGAAGGAGGGAGGAAAGAGGGAACGAAGGAAAGACAAAGGGAAGGAAGGACAGTAGGAAAGAAGGACGAAAGGAAGGGAAGGATGGAAGGAGAATGAGGGAGAGAGGGAAGAAGGAAAGACAAAAGGGAAGGAAGGATGAAAGGGTGTAAGGGAAGGATGGAAGGAATGGATGGAAGGGAAGGAGGAAGGAAATAGAGAAGGAAGGAAGGATGGAAGGAGAAAGAGGGCGAGAGGGAAGGCGGGAAGAAAGAGGGAAGGGAAGGAGGAAGGAAAGACAGAATGAAGGAAGGACAAAAGGAAGGAAGGGAAAGATGGAAGGAGAAAGAGGGAGAGAGGAAGGAGGGAGGAAAGAGGGAACGAAGGAAAGACAAAGGGAAGGAAGGACAGTAGGAAAGAAGGACGAAAGGAAGGGAAGGATGGAAGGAGAATGAGGGAGAGAGGGAAGAAGGAAAGACAAAAGGGAAGGAAGGATGAAAGGGTGTAAGGGAAGGATGGAAGGAATGGATGGAAGGGAAGGAGGAAGGAAATAGAGAAGGAAGGAAGGATGAAAGGAGAAAGAGGGCGAGAGGGAAGGCGGGAAGAAAGAGGGAAGGGAAGGAGGAAGGAAAGACAGAATGAAGGAAGGACAAAAGGAAGGAAGGGAAAGATGGAAGGAGAAAGAGGGAGAGAGGAAGGAGGGAGGAAAGAGGGAACGAAGGAAAGACAAAGGGAAGGAAGGACAGTAGGAAAGAAGGACGAAAGGAAGGGAAGGATGGAAGGAGAATGAGGGAGAGAGGGAAGAAGGAAAGACAAAAGGGAAGGAAGGATGAAAGGGTGTAAGGGAAGGATGGAAGGAAAGGATGAAGGAAATAGAGAAGGAAGGAAGGATGACAACAGAATTACAAATGTCGGAAATGGGGGCTCACTAAAAGAGTTTTTAAAAGCACGTTTCTTGGCACACCTTCTAAACGCAGAGGGAGCGAAGCCCGAGAATAGCTGGGAGGGGAGCGCATCCCACCGTCTAGTCTGCCTTGGAGGGCCAAGGAATTCTCTCGCGACGCAAGCAAAAGGCTTTGAATCCTCAGGCCCTTTGAAGTGCTGCGTGTTAGTTGTCAAAGCGGGATGTACACTGAGACGTGGCAGTGTGCCGTGATCAAGATGCCAACTTGTCAGCAGGATCCTTCTCCAACAGCCTTCGCTCTGTTCCCCCTTTGCCCCCTCGGTTTTTTGTACAATCTTCACATTACCAACAGCATCCCATTTGCACCGAGCATTGGTTGCACAAGGAGAGGCTTTGGAAGAATGGATGTGCAGTTAATATTTTTCCCCAACCAGCCATCATGTGGATTTCATCCTTTCTGTCTTTCCCCACTTTTTTTCCTTTTAGTGTTATTTTGTAGTTAATGCATATTATTTGGTAGCTAATTGTTTGGCAGCTTGTAGTTAATTTCCACTGGCCGCATAGGACAGTTTTTGTGTATTTCTTTTAGGTTCTATTTTGTTGTCTCTCTCTCTGTGTGTGTGTCTCTCTCTCTCTCCACACACACATGCACGCACGTGCACGCACGCACAAACACACACACACACACACAAGCTATCCCCTGCCATGCATTGCTGTGGCCCAGTCTGCGTATATGTGTTTTGTGTGTGTATATATGTGTGTATATATTTTTGTATATGTGTATATATGTGTGTTTGTGTATATATGTGGTTTTGCACATGCGTTGTAATGTATTTTTGGGTTTTTTTTTGTTTTTCAGTGTTTTTATGAGTGATGGTCACTCGTTGGCCTGATAGGTGTCTTGTGTCCAAATTTGGTGTCAATTCGCCCAGTGTTTTTTGAGTTATGTTAATCCCACAAATGAATATTACACACACACACACACACACATATACATATACATACACATACACATATATATACACACATACACATACATACATACATATGTGTGTATATATGTATATGTATATGTGTGTGTGTGTATATATATATATCTAGAGAGAGAGACCAGCTTCATAAGGTGTATACGTATTGTGTTGTTTCAAGATGTTCAAGTGTCATTATGCTATAAATACATATTTTCACAAGTAAAACAGGTAGGAAAGAAATCAACATATAGCTTTTCTAGCAGGATGCCCTATATCATGTATGGATAAACCCAGGCCCAGAGTCTGGATGTGGTCCCTTGGGCTCTTTTCTCAGGCCCTCCTCTCTCTCACCATCCTATCCTTCTTTCCTTCCTTCTTCCCTCCCTCTTTCTCCTTCCCTTCCACCTTTTCTTCCTCCTCCTCTCTCCTCTTTTTTCTCTTCCTTTTCCTTTTGTATTTTCTTTCTTCTCTTTCCTCCATCCCTTCCCTCTTTCTCCCTCCCTCAATCCCTCCCACCCATTTCATCCGTCCTTCTCTCTTTCCTCCCTCCCCTCTTTTGTCTTTCTTTCATTCTCTTTCCTTCCTATCCTCCCTCTCTTCTTCCTTTCTCCTCTCCTTCCCTTCTTTGTTCTTTCCTTCCCTCCTCTTTCATCCCTCCTCCCCTCTCCCCCTTTTTTCCTTCCTTCCTCCTTCCTTTCCTTCCCATTTCCCTTCCTTCCCTTCCACCCTTTCATCCTTCCTTCCCTCTCTTTTGTCTTTCCTTCCTTCCCTCTTTCTTCCCTCTCGCCCTCTTTCTCCTTCCATCCATCCTTCCCCCCTTCCATCCTTCCTTCCTTCTCTATTTCCTTCCTCCTTCCCTTCCATCCATTCCTTCCATCCTTCCCTTCCACCGTTTCATCCTTCCTTCCCTTTTGTCTTTCCTTCTTTCCTTCTCTCATTCTTCCCTTCTTCATTCTCTCTCTCTTTCTCCTTCCCTTCCTTTCATCTTTCTTTCCTACTGTCCTTCCTTTCTTTCATCCTTCCTTCCTTCCTTCCCTTTGTCTTTCCTTCATTCCCTCTTCCCTCCTTTCCTCTCTCCCTCTTTCTCCTTCCATCCTTCCCTTCCTCCCTTTTATCCTTCCTTCCTTTTTGTCTTTCCTTCCCTCGTTCTTCCCTCCTTCCCTCTCTCCCTCTTTCTCCTTCCATCCTTCCCTTCCTCCCTTACACCCTTCCTTCCTTCCTTCCTTCCTTCCTTCCTTCCTTCCTTCCTTTCCTTCCTTCCTTCCTTTCTTCCCTTTCCTCCCTCTCCTTCCCTCTCTCCCTCTTTCTCCTTCCATCCTTCCCTTCCTCCCTTTCATCCTTCCCTTTGTCTTTCCTTCGTTCCCTCTTTCCTCCCTCCTTCCCTCTCTCCCTCTTTCTTCTTCCGTCCTTCCCTTCCTCCTTCTCCTTCCTCCTTTGTTTTCCTCCTCTTTCTCCTCCTTCCCTCTTCCCTTTTTCTCCTTCCATCCTTTCCTCCTTTCCTTCCTCTTCCTCCTTCCTTTCCTTCTTCCTTCCTTCCTTCCCTTCTCCTTTCCTTCTTCCTTCCCTTCCTTTCCTTTCCTTCCTTCCTTCCCTTCCTTCCTTCCTTCCTCTTCCTCTTCTTCTTCCTTCCTCCTTCTTCCTTCCCTCCCCTCTTCCTTCCTTCCTTCCATACCAACAGGCATGCCAGTCCTCTTTGCAGGGAGTGCTAGCATGTGGCCCCCCAGGTCAGAACGTTGGCCCAGTCCTGCTCTATATGGTGATTGTATATAGCGGCTTTCCCTAATTGCCAACTGGAAATGCAGCCAGCAACGCCTTTCCTTTCATGTGATGCTTATGTTTGCATTTCCTTTCATCTTTTCTTGCAATGAATGTCTTGTGTTTGACAGGTACCGGAGTTTCGTTTCAGAGGACGCGGGTCCCAATACCCTGATTGCAACCGTTCATGCCATAGACCCTGACGGAGACGGCGTCTCGTACAGCATCACTGGAGGGAATCAAGGGGGGAATTTTATTATTGACCCTCAGAAAGGTAATTATACATTTGTGGCTATTATACATTTGTGACTTCAAATTCTGGCATGTGTCATGAGATGGGTTGGAGTCTGTGTCCTATCTTAATTATTCATCTATATAAATAAAAACGTAATGTTTGTTTGTGGGATTAACACATAACTCAACAACCCATCTGGACGAATTGAAGTTGACTCATCACAACTCATAAAAAAAATCTGAAACAACCCCAAAAACTTTCAAGGGCTGAAATTCAAATTGCAAAGGTCACAGGTAGCATACTATAGATCTATATAAATAAAAAAATGTAATGTTTGTTTGTGGGATTAACATAACTCAAAAACCACTGGATGAATTGACAACAAATTTGGACACAATATACCTATCAGGTCAATATGACCATCACTCAAAAAACACTGAAAAACACAGTGGAAGGGACTTAAAAAGCCAAAAAACAAAAATTACATTACAACGCATGCACAAAACCACACATATATATATACACACACACATATATATATATACACACATATATGCGTATACACACACAAAACACATACACAGAAAGGAGGGAGGGAGGGAGGAGAGAAGGAGGGAGAGAAAGGGGGAGAGGAAGAGGAAGGAAAGAAAGAAAGGAGAGAGAAGGAGGGAAGGAGGAGAGAAGGAGGGAAGAAGGAGGGAAGGAGGAGGGAAGGGAGAAAAAGAAGGGAGAGAAGGAAAGAAGGAGGAGAAGGAGGAGAGGAAGGGAAAGAAGGGGAAGGAGAGAAAAGAGGAAAGAAAGAGAGAAAGAAGAAGGAGGAAGGAGGAAGAGAAAAGGAAAGAAGGGGGGAAGGAAAGAGAAAGAAGAAGGAGAGAAGGAAGGAGAGGAGAGAAGGAAATAAAAAAGTGAAAGAGGAAAAGGAAAGGAGAGAAGGAACGAAAAGGAGAGAAAGAGGGAGGGAAGGAAGGAAGGAAAGAGACAAGGAAGAATGGAACCAAAGAGCAAAGGAAGCGAGAAAAGAAACAGGTAGAGAAGGAAGAAAAAAAAGGGAAAGAAAAAGAGGGAAGGAATGAAAGAGGGAGGGAAGGAAAGATAGGAAAAAAGGAGAGAAAGAGGGAGGGAAGGTTGGCCACAGCAACACGTGGCGGGTACAGCTAGTTGTGTATGTGTATATATATATATACACATACAAACACACATATACACAAATATATACACACATATATACACACAAAACACATGTACACAGACTGAGCCACAGCAACACATGGTAGGGGATGGCTAGTGTTTACATAACTATGGGATGTATGGGTACTTTACCCTTCCAGTGGATTTCTTCTGATTTTGAGGGTTGCTTCTTGTTTCTGTCCTGGTGAACTGAAACTGCATTATATGATCAGCATGTAAACTCGTGTAATGAAGTTCAACCTGATTTCACCTGCTCAAATGAGGCCGTAAAGTTTTGCTTCTGCAGCGATTCGCTTTGGGATTTGGCCCCTCCACCCTCCCTCCAGTCAGAGTCTTCCTCCTGAGCCTCCTTCTGTAGCTGTGCTCTTTATGTCTCTGCAGATCCCTTGATATCCTCGACACTCGTGTTTCTGTTGACAATACATCACAGCCACATTTCTTCTTTTCAGTGGTGTTTGTATTCTTCATGAAGCCCGTCTCCTGTGGAAGCTCTTACGTTGCATTGTCCCTTTCAGAAAGAAGGCAAACCCAGGACATTGTGCTTTCTTAAACAGTCGAGAGCGGTTCTGCCTTTCTGACACACTTGAGAAAATATTCAGCAAAATCCTCCCCCAGCTTGGAAAGCCACGCATTGCTAGCTGTTGCTAAAATAAGTGTCCTTGAAGGTGTTGATTTCTGTGACCACTTCATTGTCAAGTTAATGCTCTTCACGTATATCGCAATACTCATGAGGATTGCGCCACGTGTATTTGCCAGATACAGTCAGCAGCCTACATTTTTAGTTCTAAAGATGCTTGGATGTAAGCCACATTTTTGATAAGCATATTATTATTATTATTATTATTATTATTATTATTATTATTATTATTATTATTTTAGTTGAAGCTATAAAGGTATCAGCAGAAGTGGTTGCTGTCTGGAGAGATGTATAGATCCAAGGACTTCATCACACTAAAGCAGTGTTTTTCAACCTGTGGTTTCCCTGATGTTTTGGCCTTCAACTCCCAGAAATTCCAACAGCTAGTAAACTGGCTGGGATTCCTGGGAGTTGTAGGCCAAAACACCTGGGGACCCACAGGTTGAGAGCCACTGCACTAGATGTCACGATGCCAGTCTCTGCCTTATTCAGGTAGAGATGAACCAAACACTCAGTTTGTATCAAACAGGTTAATGAAAACAGCACTTACTTTCTGGCTGTTTTAATAGTCCAAAACATAAAAAGATAGCACTCATATAAAACGAATACTGATAGAAAACATGGTTGCAGGTTCAAGATAACACCGTAATCAAAAGGTTCAGTCCAGCGGTCAAACACCGAAAATTCAATAAACAAAGTCCAGGGATCAAGAGTCTATTGTAGTTAACAGCCAGTCCAAAGATTCAAGGTTCCAGGATTCCAAGAGTTCGGGAGACAGGTCAGGATACCGAAAATCCACAAACTTGGGGAAAAACCAGCAGCATCTACCACCAAAATAAAACAAATAGTTTTCTCCCAAAGGTCAGTCTCAAGGCTAGCTCCTTATATCCAGAAACACCCAGCTGCAGCCTATCTCTTGCATGCCTCCACCCTTGATTGCTTTCACCCAGGAACTCTTACTTACAGATTACTCAACCTTTTAGAACTAAGACTTACATTAACCCTTCCATCACCAACTGCTAGGCCTACCACCACCAACCACCACCAACTGCAGAACATGATCCATGACATTAGAGCATCTATCCATTTTAAATCCAGGTGCTGCCTCCTAGAGAATTCTGGGGTTTTTAGTTTAGAGAGTCCCAGGACCTCTCTGGCTGAGAATGTTAAAGGCCCCTCTTTAAACTACAAACACCAGAATTCTGCAGGAGTGGATTGATGCAGTGGTTCTCAACCTGGGGTCCCCAGATGTTTTTGGCCTACAACTCCCAGAAATCCTAACAGCTGATAAACTGGCTGAGATTTCTGGGAGTTGTAGGCCAAAAACATCTGGGGACCCAGGTTGAGAAGCACTGCTCTAGTGTGATGAGGTCGCTAGTGTTTTCAAAGAGGAGATTCAAAGGGTGTCTCACTTTAGAATCCTCAAACTAGTTGAGCCTTCGCACGCTGGGCCTGTGCATCAGACTGTAGACAGGACATAAATTCTGTGTGCCCAACGGGACGCCGGGGCTGCCTCAGATTAAAGGCCCTTGGATTTCCTTGAAACAGAGTCTTTAGATTGCTTAAAGGTTCAACAATGTTCTTTATTAATGAAAACAAACAGGTGCTTTCAAGCTTTCTTAACAGTCTATTGGCTCTTGCAATCTTGTCCAGAGGGAACAGGCACTATCTTCATAACTGTAATTAACTAATGGGGAAATCCTTAACTTCTAATCTGGGAAGTCTGTACTTGCTTCTGTTGGCGTGGAGCCCCTGCACCCGGTACCAACTGCGTCTGGCTTCCGCGAGTGACCCTTACCAAGCAGAGCTTTGTAGACTTCCAGGGAAAAGAAGGAGTTCGGGTTTCAGTGATGGTTGGCTGAAGTCCCTCTGCAAAGGAGCTGTAAGGCTGTAGAATCCTCAGCCAAGCTGTGGGGCCTTTTCTCCCTGGCCAAGCTGTAGACTGTATATCTCCCGGCCAAGCCATAGAAGATGAAGCTTTCTACAGGAGCTCTTGGTATTATGTCCTGCATGGAAAGCTTCTCTGTGTGGACTGAACTCAAACTGGCTCCTATTCCCTCCAAAACCCAAAAAGGGGGCGGGACCAGGGAACCTAACTATAATTAACAGGTGGCTTGCCCTATGAATGCAGCCAATAAAAAGCCACCTATCTGCAGAGTCCCTGAAACTTAGGACTACAACAAACATTCAATGCAAAGCAAACAAAATTGGAGCTCTTGGTATAGTTGTACCTGCACACTAGTTGTATATAATGTGGTTGCATTTGTATCAGGAGCCCCCGGTGGTGCAGTGGGTTAAATTGCTGAGCTGTTGGACTTGTTGACCGAAAGGTCACAGGTTTGAATTTAGGGAGCAGGGAGAGCTCCCGCTGTCAGCCCCAGCTTCTGCCAACCTAGCAGTTTGAAAATATGCAAATGTGAATAGATCAATAGGCACTGCTCCATTGGGAAGGTAACGGCACTCCATGAAGTCATGCTGGCCACATGACCTTGGAGGTGTCTACGGGCAATGCCAGCTCTTTGGCTTAGAAATGGAGATGAGCACCAACCCCCAGAGTTGGACACAACTGGACTCTTAATGTCAAGAGAAAACCTTTAACTAACTTGAGTTTATATCATGCACAGAGATTTACAAACGACGCTCTATGTAAAAATGAATGGTTTCTGAACAAAGCTATGTTTCAATTCAACCTAGTTTGTGGCATCCACAAAAATGAAGTCTCTGGAGTAGAACAACTACTTTCAAAGTAAGGACTGCACGTTTAAACAGGAAAGAACACTTTCGAACTAGGAACAGATTCCCCCCCCCCCAATTTTTGTTACATACTGTTACCGAATGTATTTCATGACCTCTCCCGTGAAACTGCCATTTGACATAGCTAAGATCTCTTTGAGCAAGACAGAATATTTGGAAGGGAAGATGAATGCACAGTCGTTCCGTTTGAAGTGACTCCGATGGCTTTGCCTGATCAGACTCCAGTCTCTCCCTCTTTCTCCCCCTCATTTGTGGTTTTTTATTTTTTGCGCCCTGGGTTTGTGCCCTCTCCTGCGTTGGGAAGCTAATCAGAAGTAAATAAGATGCCACAGATCTGTCCTCCTCCTCCTCCTCCTCCTCATTTGATCTGTCTTCGGGGTTCACTTATCATGAAAAATTAATGCCCATGCAAATAGTGCTTTTGCAATATTAATGCCCCAGATATGAATGTATTTCAGAA